CGGTCACACGGTGTTTCTCTGAAAAGACCTGTACCCCACCAGTGGGTGCTTTAAGGAGGTTCTAAAGTGTAGCCGAAGACATAAGAGCATAGGCGCGCTCGCTTAAGACAACTCACTTATGTTCTCGAAAGAAGAGAACTAATGGCATACTCTCCGTGATGTACGCTGTCGATTTCCAGTGTTTCTTTTTTGCCTGACTTTTTGGTTATCCATTCTCAACCGACAGGATAACACTGTTCAACCTGAATCCAACGGATAGCCATTCGAATGTGGCACCTGTTTCGACCAAAAATCAACCAATCCAAATCACTGTCCCGGCAAAATCTGACTCAGAAAATTACTATCATTACATGGTCAGAGGTTTGACGCCTGATGCATTTTATCAAGTCTCTGTGCAAGCCGTGACCACAGGCAACGTTACTGGTCATCCAGCTGTCATCAGTTCTTCACCGCGAGTCAATTCAATGCCACCATCGGAACCTCCTACTCATGTAAGTTGGGCACCTGGGAGTGCTGATCAGTTGGCAATCGTCCAAGAGGGTAAAGTCCGTGTTTGACAACACTGTTCATTGAATTATCACAAATTCTCTAGCTTTTAGCCCGCTATTTCTCGGTTTTGGATGACTGTACCCAAATATATGGCACAGATATTGCTAACATATTTATTCACAAAATGCAAGGAACTTCAAGTACATTCGGTAGCCTGCGACAATTTCTAATTGAGATTTCGTCCTGTAAGTGAAGTCAATCTACGCTAAAAAGCCGAGGCTTGTACAGGTGCTTCATCCCTATCAATAGCCTTCTGCAGTGAGCACCTCAAAACTCTAGTAGGGAGTTCCGAATCTGCAAGCTCACAGCTGATGGTCTCAAAACTTAACCGCTCAACTGCGAGAGGGTGATTTTCATTGTTACTAAAATATAGTATCTTGATAAGAAATGATAGAACTGTAGCCCCCACTACGATAGCTGATGAATAATTTCGGAACACGGTACCCAGTTTATTTTTTAGACTATCCGAGAGCCTTGTTCAGACACGGTGTGGTTATCATATTTATACTGATCTTATACTATATGCGTACTTAATAAGTAGGCACTTAGCTAAGTTCATCCACCTGTGCGAAGTATTTTCTTACACAAGTGAGTTAGGCCTGCGTCAGGTGTCATGGGCTTTGGAACAACATTTATTCGGAACATAGATATCGATATTTGAGTCCAAATATTGGGTGAGTATACGCCAAATTCATTTGAGCGTTCCGTTGTTCTCCTGATGTAGTTTTTGCTTACCTACATGGTATATTTCATCGGACCGCTTGTTGTTCCTCACCTGACTCGACTTGTTCCTCGGTTTATACCAGACCAATAAAATCATCCTAATATTATGACGGGATCAGTGAAGCTCGAAAATCAATAACAAGTATTCCAATCTGTCCGCTGAAATGGACGCCAAGTTTGAGGCTACCATCCAATCACGTGAGCGCAATACTGACTCTTGTTAAGCCTTAGATCGACGGAATCACTGAACTTTAAGGTTGTTGATTGAGCACAAATTAGCCTTTGCAATTATTAGGTGTGGGCCAACTTTTCTACGACAAAATAACACTTTGACCATTGTACTGATTCCTACTTCCACCAGTAGCAGCGGCTGGAACGCTAGAGCTACTGATTCTTTTAAAGTTTGGCATATGACTTTCACTTCCTGGGTCCAAGATGGATCGATCCCATTAAAATTCTGATTGCAACCAATCATTGTGGAACGTAATTCTGAATGCTTTTTGAAAGTCGATCTGATCATCTAGTCCGAACGAGAGATGTCTCCCGAGACAGATTACTGCACTGTAGTCAATGGCTTGTGAACAGTTAAATTTAGCCTAGTCAATAATTCCGTCCCCTACCCTAAAAATTCCCCAAACAACTTTATTTCGTTTACATATTTTCCTAAAAGGTCAAAGTAGTATCCATCGGTGCTCGCACTGCTACAGTACTTTGGAAACCTCCACCCTTGAGAGCTCAGAATGGAGAAATCATACTGTATCGAATCAATATGTCCTGTGATGACTGGCTTCGGCCCCGCCAAATCAACGTTTTTGGAGAACAACGTCAGCTAATTCGAGGTAAGCATTTGCTAATTCGTGCGCCAGTAAAGCATAGAATTTAGTTTAGTGTATCGTGTCCTGCTACACTGTGGTTTACTATACTATGCTACGCTGTACTATTCTGTACCGCTGTCACATTTGCATTACCATAGGAATACTCCAAGGAGCCACCCACTGTCAACCACTGTCACTAGTGAGATTCCGCTAAGCATATAATTTATGAGGGTGTCCTAATAATGACAGCAGTTCAGGTGGATACTGGATAGAAAACAAAATAGACTTATTTCTTGATTTAAGATTGGGGAAATTTCTAAGCTTGAAAAATACTTTGGCGCTCACCTTGGAGTGATCTTTATTTCATTCACCCTCACATATATGCTGCTAAATCTGACGAGCCTCGCCTTCGTCAGCTAGTGTTAAGCATCCATCATCCTCGAATTAATGCACTTCAGTTCATCCAGTATTAGTTGCTTCTCGCGATCCGCAACCGAAAATCACACCGGCCTCTTGGGATTGTTTCGTTGAGGCTGAAAATACAACTAAAACCACTCTCCTTGCTTCCCATGGTCAGACAACAGAGACACAGGGAGATGAATTCTATCCTGTAACGCTCGGGTTATTTCTCAACAGGAGCTGCTTGTCTTTCCACCGTGCCTCATTTCTTTACTCAGGACAGTCCCCCATGTCAGGTTCCAGGCTGCAGAGGTTGTGTTTCTTTTTTATCTGTTAATCACATCACATGATGGAAAGTAACTCTTTTCGACAGATAAGTCTGTTAATGGGCTTTTGGTCTCAAGGAGTGACCCACAATGTGGTGGAGCGCTAGCCTGACCTGAGGGCACACTCCGTGCTTCGTACACATCTACCCGATTTCCGAACAAACTGCCTTCGCTCTCAAGTTTTGGTGATAATTTTCAGTTTCCCGTTTTCTGGTGATCGAAACTTTAGCAGCTAGAACCAACGTGCCTACGGCACACGGTTTATAGCTGATGAATTGATTTTTTATTGACGTATCGAGAAACACACTCCGTTATGTTGAATATTGCTGCAATTGGGTGGCACATTTAGCTGAAGTTAATTAAAAGCCAGAAATGTAGGCGAGATTCTGACGTTTGCTGGTGATACCAGATTAGTGTTTTTACGTGTATGTCCACTTTGTGTCCAACCTTGAGATAGGATTGATGATTCCCGGAAGAGTTTACCTGGTGAGCTGCCAGAAGTGTGGGACCGGTGGTTGGATCTTCAGGGGTTTTCAGCAGCATTACATGTAACGTCAGGCCAAAGAGCACATTTGTATGGGTTCTAGCCAGCACTTCAAGGGTTAGAACACCAGTATACAAATCACAAGTTTTGGTGGCAGACTGGCACCCCCGGCTGAGTCAACACTTGGCCAAATTGTGTTCAAATCTTCCCACACACATTCCTCTACAAACAACTTATGGAATAGACGCTTGAATAGGTATAAGTAATTGGTGGAATCAAGCCGTCGATTTGGACTGATTCTGGAGAGACCGTTCCAGATGATAACAACCTTCAGATGAGAGGGTTTCTTAATGATCTATCCAGAGTAGTTTAACTCAGTTTACATAACTTATAATGCCATCAATCTTATCATTATTATTTTCATTGTCTTTGTCTGAAAACGGGGACTTCGTGCAACCCAATCGAATTCAGGCACAAGCCCGGAGAGGTGCATCACTTTTGGAACCATGGAGATACCTACCCGTTCGCTTTTCGTTTATTTTATGTGTGTAGTTCTGAAACACAATGTGATAAACGCGAACTACGTTCATATCCAACTACACCCCCCAAGAAATTTTCTCATCTCATGGTTTTTGCGGGAGGTTTATTGTTCAGTCTCACATCACTCTCGTTTTGAACAGTCGTCCTCCTGTCCTGGCGCAATTATTCATGTGAATCCACACCAAAGGGGGGGAAGCACTGGACTCGAGTTTCGCTCTTGTTAGAGCTCATCAGCAGTGCATATCCAATGGCCGTGCCGGGGTTTGAACTCCGGACACCTGACATGCGAGGCGAACGTGTTACCACTATTCCACCAGCGCACGTTGGACGCATCTGAATTCTCACGTCTGAACGGGTGAACGTGTTCTCACTTGAGCGATGTGATTAGTATGCCCGACACATCATCGATACGACGACCCAGTAACTGTCCGTTTTGTCATCATTGTTACAAACGCATCACACTAAATCTTGCACAACCTACAATGTTAGCTTGTGAATAATAAACTTCTTTACACTGACCTACGACGAGACCAGCAGGAGACAACTATTCGGGAAAGTGAGTGAACTGCCCTCCACCAACTTTAGCGAAGCACTTTATTTTATCAATGAAATACTTGTATGCGTGGTGATCTTCCTTCATGATGTTATCAAAAGAATGAGGCCACTTCTATTCTGTATTGACCGTAAGCGGTATTTGCAGATGGATTTTGCTACAGTAGTTTGATGTAAAAACTCGCGGCTTGCAATAGCATTTGCTAATTGCATGTCATCTGCACATTAAAATAACCTCATTTTGGCGGGGATATTAGACAGCTATCAGTGGTAGTTCCACATGATATCTATTGGGCTGTACAACAAAACAGTTTTTGCTATCCATATCATCAACAAACAAATTCAGCTTGGCTCCATCCTCATCGCTATTTTCTCCCATTTAGGGCTCACTCCAGCGACAAAATATGAATTGACCGTATCAGCGGCAACCAGGGGAGGCAATGGTCCAGACTCGCCGCTGGTCACGTTCACAACAGAAGCGCGGGAGGCTGAAGTTGACAGGGGATCACAACAAACAGACGCGGGCTACATAATGTCAGGGGTGAGTTAATTCCGGTATAACATTGCCTTCAGCACCACAGTGCTATCATTGACTACTTTCAGGAAGGTCAGATTTCTGAAAATCATCCCAGAATACCTGAAACCCAATGAGACCTTGAAGCTCTACCAAAATCTCAATAGGGAAGCCTGTAAGCATCCATCAATGAAACACTCAATCCAGTAGAGGTCGTCGAGTGTTCAGGTACGCTACAGAAGCAAGACCGATTATAATAAGCGTTTAGGCATTTGGTAGATGCTCGTTCGGTGATGACCTCTGTTTACTAAACTCCGATCAGACAGCCCGGATTAATCTCAACGATACCCTTTAAATAGCGTGAGGTCCCTTGTAGCTTATGCGATCACTTATTTGCAATACAGCTGTTGTTGGCAAGTCTTTTCCTGGCACTAAAGCACTGGAGCGGATACACCAGTAGTTACAACGATGACCTATTGTCCTTTTTCCTTCAAGTGCGACAATTTTTAGGGGATTTTTGGGTGTATTCCCTTTAGGTGAGAGCAATCTAATGACATTTTTCCTTAGAAATCCATGTTTCCATTAATGGCATGTTGCATATGAACAATATGTATTCGGGTTCTCAAACTTGTGACTGACTTTGCAGCTAATTGTGGAACAGTGACCTTTCTAGGCAGTTAAGTCAAGGCAGTGGCATGAGTTACGGGTTCCACGCTAATCCTCTGGTTAAGCGACACAGCTAGTAATTGATTCGTAGAAACTGAAAGCTGGAAGTTGGCGTTGACAGTTGATCAGTTATTAGTTAAAAGCAGCTTGGTGGAATAAAGCCCTTCTGAGTGGCACAGCTTCATTTAAGTGGGATGGTGGAATGGTAAAGAACACTTATGAGCAATATCAACTGTCATTTAGGACGGGTTTGAAAACAGCAGTAGACAGCACTTGAAAGCTACGATTCAACAACGTTATTGGCTACATTTTTGAATCATGCCCGTCAGAATCAGCAATTACCGGTGTAAGCCACCCGCAAACCTACTCTCAGGAAATCATCCTCTGACGAAGCACTTATGTTCGCCGTTCAAAGCTTAGCAAATTTTCTGAGCGCTTGTAACCGGTTTATCACAATTGATATTTCCGTCTACTGATATAGAAAACCAGAAACATTGACTACCGACCTTGTCAACGGGTAGACTGTATAGTGACATTCCACTCAGCAGTTATAAAGCCACATGCTTTGGCCCTGACAGCAGATACATCAGTTGAATTCTCATGCTGAAAATCCTACAGGATGTCCAGAGTCTTTGTGTCATACTCTCCCCGTACAAGTACCTCTTTTTGAAAGCACGTTAACTGTTCCGAACCTTGAGGATTTGTTTCCTTGACTCTAGTCTACATGCCTTATTTCAGGCGTCTGTTTTCAGTAGCGCCCTCAAATGTGAAGACCGAAGGCTTACTGAAAATACACGATAGAGCGAGAAAAAAATACGCGCGTGCAGTTAGGCCTTTAAAAACCTCTATCATGCCTCGGACTTTGTGACAAATTCCATGTGTTAGGTTGTAAACGAACGCCATATATGCCATAAAAGTTAAACGCTACTCATGAGTTCGAATAAACACCAGAAAGTTTAGATTGTGTTTGTTTCAAAAGACGGATAAACGAAGGGTATAAAAATCCACAGGAAGAAAGTATGCCTAACTACTTTGTCATTTTTGTTAGGAACCATAGGCATGCTTATCAAAGAGGCAATCGAACGATTTCAAAACCAGCGGTTTTCTTATTCCAAGATGTTGCATCTGGAAGCTTTAGAGTAATTCTAATAATAAAAGTGCACCAGCTTTTTTTGCGCTTCCGCTAAGTTTTGCAAGGTAACAATATCTCTGCCTCTCTCACTTGATCAGGACAATGCAGGAAATCATCCGAATGTGGGGGAACGCAGCCCTCTATCCTCTGATCGAGGGAAACTGTCATCACATTTGCGTGCGGTAAGCGTTTGTTTTAAAACATTCTTGACAGGCCAGGTTCTATCTTCAGTTGCATTCGAAGTTCCACATCTTCGGTTTCCGGATGCTGTCAAGTTTCACATCCACTTTCATCAGTGTTTACGCAACAGGACAACTACCTGCAGAACAACTTATAGTTACGAGGCTCTAGGCCATCTTGTCTGTCTTGTCACTTAACTACAAGTGGTCGACACATCGTTGCCCGTTTGTTTGAGATTGTAACAATTCACTAGAGGCATTATCTAGTGAATCACTCCTAGTCTGTGACCTGCTGTCAGATCGATAAATCGACGGGTCTGTTTCTTTTGGCAAAACTTAACTTCACTACATGGTCCACCGAATCCTGTTTTCTCTATCCCACGAAAATTTCCCAACTCCAGAACATTCTTCCATGCCAGAAGACAATTTTCCCTAACTTGATCGAAGGGCTAGTGTTCCCACCTGATTTGTACGTCTGGAACTTTGGTCAGTACATAAGAAACCCGCCGGATTTCTGTGGTTTAGTTTAGACAAACATTCGTCAACTCAGTGAAAAGAATACATTAACCAGAAGTGGTGTCCGTTTCAAAGCAAAGATAGGTTGATTAGAAAACTCAAACACACCCGACCAGGAAGAAACCGACGACCATCATCGTCATTGACAGCAGTACATCTGTGGTAAGTGGTTTAGCTCGTTTTCATACAACCGAGAGGTAAAAGTGTCCTAAGAGGGCGAGGGGACAGAGGCAGGATCGGTGCAGTTATCATAAAAAGCCCTGTGTCCCTGGGGAAAATGGTTAAGTGCGAGTGTCCTGCCTCGTCGAGTACACTGAGGATCACGTATGGGTAGGAATGGGATCGGAAAACAACCCAGAAAAACTTAGTCATTGTGATCAACAAATAACAGCGTCTTGGCCACCGGGAATGTTGCATGACACGTCCGACGGATGTTCCAACCATGTTCAAAGAAAATCACTTGTAGCTAACCAGAGAGGCGCGAAGATCTCAAATTAGGGCCAAACTGGTAGTGGGCTGTCTAACGGTTTTCAACAAACTTATGAGTATACTGATTCAGGAAAATATACTCCCATATATCTTTATATATTTATGGATGCATTCGAGAATCTGTTCAACAAAAGTATGGTGGATGATTCTGCCGCCGGATCCTACTCAAGGCTCCATTCCACCGTAGGAAAATGACTGGTTCGATAGAGATTTGTTACGGGCAGTCCTCATTCTTGCTTCGCTTTTCGTTTGACTCCTAGGATTATACCCTGTAGGAAAACAAGAGAGTGAAATACGATAGATGGGACACTGATTATATCAGCACGGAGGTGATCGCATAGTGACATTTAAATACTGGTGGTATCCTACCTCTACAACCTCTTGTCAGTGTCATATTTCAAACCGACTCAAATGAAAATAATCTGTGAAGCACATACAGATGATGGGAAACTTCTCAAAAATCGGCTATTTTGTTCAGCAGTCACTCAGCAGTCACACACAAGTAACCACGTGTTCAACAGCTCCGAATGGTGACTGCCCCTATTAGAGGATCGCCGTAATCTGTAGACCAGTACGGCAGAGTAAACGACCAAGGAAGACAAACTAGACGCCGAAGCCACACGCGCATGAACGTAGAGAATTAAGTTAAAAACTGGTTATACTAAGATACTCGATTACTATTTTGTTTAGAGTGACACTTCGAAGCATTCAGTGATTTCCGTAAGGAGATCCGTAACCGTCAGGCGGCCAACCGCGTTACCCGGCACTATCAATCAACTGTTGGGCTGGATGTTGGATATCTACACACCGAGTGGTCCAAAAGTTTGTAACACGTATACTCATAACCTGACTATGGCAGAGTTTCCAGTTGGCCCAACCGAAAAACTCCGTCCAAGCGGAATCCCTCAGCTGCAGACGTCGCTTACAATGAGTAGAGTACAAAGAACGTTCAATATTTCCGAGGAGTAAAAAGATTCTTGCATGTCGGAACTGCAGTTCGTTGACTTTATCCTCAAGCATTCATTTCAATCCCTTGTGAAACTGGACATTTGTGTACTTTATTATGTACTCACAAACCTATTATACGTGATGGACATTCGGTAGGCTGAAAAGAGCCCAGATGCGTTGCAGTTTAGGATAGGCTACAAACAATGTTTAGTAGATTAGCCATTTGCGATTGGTTTGCGGTAAACTTGTGTCCAAATCATCACGTGACCAATCACGACCGCCTAGCTGGATAAGTTATAAAGTGTCGAGAGACTGCTGTGCCCATGGGTTTCGAGAGCTGAATATGTCACTGAACTCTAAGTGAGCATTTGCACTGAATTTCTATTTGTAAAATCCACTGATCAGTTTAGTGGCACCCAGATATTCGCAAACTAATGGACAGGAGCTTTGATGTTGTGTATCAGTTTTTGCAAACTCCGGATAACTGAGAAACATCAGCTTCAAAATAGAGAATGTCTGATTCAGCCGCTTTTTCCTCTCTGGGTTTAGATTACCTGCAAACTAGATGCAAAAACAGGGTTCCACAGTCAAACTTTTGTCTACATAGTCTGAGCTCAAATCCGGACTTTAAACCTTTCAGCTTGCACGTAAATCTCTTCTTACTGTTCTTCTCAAATAGGTGGAAAATCTTCGCTACATCGATGATGAAGAAAACCTACTTTTACTCTGGTCACCACCAGTCAACTCAAAATCTCTGAGTGGATCGGACAGTCTGGCAATGGAAATCGATCATTACCTGATAAAATGGGGTAAACTATATCCGGGACCCAACATCGCCAGGGTGGCTGCAGATCAATCGCGATTTTTGATTGATAACCTAGGTAAGTAATTTGAACTTTATGGTGGCGACCTTCACAGACAGGTTCCCTAATATACATCCACAACTCTCGGGACACTCCAAAACGCGCTGCCCCAGTTTTGTATTTTCATGATATTAACGTGTTAATTGGTTAAGAAAGCGGCGGAACCCCTCAAGAAGAAGCACACATGGGAAAAACCAACATCTAAATATCCGTTCTCCACAGCTGAATATCCAATGAGAACCAACCTACTTATCGTGAGCCCACTTGACATGGCAAATTGCGAATACATAAACAATGAATTCATTAAATTCTCAACCAATCAAGCATGGATCATTGGTTTCAAATGGCTGGAATCCAGACTCAGTGACAGATCAGGAACATTTAGGCGTTGTGCAGCGAAATCCTTTTCAAAACTTGATAACTTCCAGATCAGTGGGCCAGTTGAGCAAATTAGAGTCATTGCTTCCCCTGTACAGCTGTGTTAGTGGACGAGTGATTTGCCTCACTCCACCAAAGACTTAGTGTATGTTCTGGAATACAGGCAGAACTAAACAAGCCAGTCATTTCTGAGTACGAAATTGAGGCTGAGGATTTCAGTCGTGAACCCCTCTCTGTTCCGAAAAAGCGTGGTGTTCCTCGTATGAACATAGTCCTTATCTGGTCTACCATATTGTGGCCATCACCGTATATGATTGAGCCCTACATTTGCACAAATGTATTTTCTATTCTGAGGTTAAATAATCTTGAAGCTGCTTTTCAATATCATGTAATGACCAGTCGCTGACAATTGTTTGAAATGACTCTCATCCAAACAGACGATAAACATTTTTCCCCGGGTACTGTTTCCAGTAATCCTCTGCGTAAGCATTGACTAACCAGGTCGAGAATGATGGTTATTCCTCCTAGCAATGCGGTCACCGTTGCCTATCTGAAGAACCGCCTGTGCATTGACCGGGCTCGCCCAATTGAAGACATCCCAACGCGGTCTTCCGAAAGTCAGGTAAACTGCGTGAAGATAGGACAGTTGTGTCCCTTTAACAAAGATCAAGGTTAGGGAAACGCCAGAACAGAAACCTTGTAATCTACTTCTGTTCCATGAGCGCGCAAGTATACACAGAAATGTAGATTTCTATTCAGCTGGTGACTAGTCGGGCAAACAAGTTTCAAAGTGGCATCCGGTTCAGCTTTAACACCCTTTTGGTGTCACCCTTTTGCCAAGTCACCCAAAGGAAGCACGAGGGCTGGGATATTGTTAGGTTGCCTAAGTCTAGATAGGGGAATTCCAGATGCAGAAGTTGGGTTTGAATCACAGACCGTCTGGTCAGTAAATGCACTGAGCCATCGCGCCTCCCCCTTTTGTCACCCAAAGGAAGCACGAGGGCTGGGATATTGTTAGGTTGCCTAAGTCTAGATAGGGGAATTCCAGATGCAGAAGTTGGGTTTGAATCACAGACCGTCTGGTCAGTAAATGCACTGAGCCATCGCGCCTCCAAATGGTGCGGGGAGAAATGACATGCCCATAAGTGCTGGGTACGCTCCAGCGATGTCTTATTTGTTTAAGATCCACCTCCGTTGCACAACCGAAAACTCGTTTTTTTTAAGGCCTAGTTTTGCCATAGATGTGTCAGATTAGTAAACGTGACCCGAACCTTGCAGATTCGTGCATTGAACTGATCAGTAACGCTAAAATCAGAACTACTACAACTTCGAAGATACACAAGACCTTCCACAGCATCCACTATCTCTCCCTGGTGTGTAAGTGGCGTGTTCAGTGACTGCATGTCCACGAGCATGACCTTAAACTTTGTGGGTGTAAAGTGCATACCGAAGGACTTAGGTCAGTTCATCCAAAACCACCTGCGCCTTCTCCTCTTCGAAGACGAGAGCGTTGTCGTTTGTATATTCCAGATCGACAAGTTTCTCATCACAGGCTATCTGAACACCGGGTTTTTGGAGAGCTCCCGGTGTTCTTCTCTTGATTTAATCGATCATGGAGTTAAGTAGGGATGGAGAAAGTGGGTATCCTAGACGCACATCGTTCTGTGAACGGAAGCTTTTGGAGAGCTCGCCGTATACTGTCACCCATCCGGAAGTCCGAGGATACAAAGAGCATTCCTTGGTGGAAAGGCGTGTAAAGAAGTACAAACCGGTCAATCAAGTCGAATGCACCTTGGAAATCCAGGGATACTAGAATTGTAAGTCGCTTATATGTATGGCGCCGTCCCAGCACCGGGTAGAATGTGAAGATTTAGTCAACGCAACCCCTACCAGGCCGAAATCCCGCTTGCTGCTGTTGAATCAGTGTCTCAAGAGTCACTGCAGGGCGACAAGGCACCGGTGACACCAACAGCATCGTTACTCCTGTGATCGAGCTGACACTCCTCTGGTTATCACACTCATCACGGCCCCTTTTGTGAAAATGGGCACTATCACCGTTTCTCGCCAGTTGTATGAGACAGATTCCTTTTCCCAAATGCAGACGGAGCAGACAAGCGCTGACCGAAGACTTCACCCCTATCTTTGAACACTGCAGGTCGAAGTCATTCAGACCAGAAGATCGGTGGCACTTGAGAGAACATATGTAGTTATAAACCTCCGAGGCCGTAGGTGGTTCCACGTCCACCGTCCAGGGTTCTACATTAACTGTGGACTGGTGAGTGACTGTAGGTGGCCATGACAATTGCTATTGGAAGTATTCGGTCCAACGGTTGAGGCATTCTTTATTCAAGATGGTCATTTCTTTCCCATTGTTGATGGTTTCACTCGCCAGTGGGTTGCTGGAACCGGTCTCATGGATGAAGTGAAGTAATCTTCGGGCATTACCGGCTTTCTAAGCCACTTTCCTTTCCTTGGCTTTGTGTGTCCAACACACATCGCGGTCAGCTAGTTTCACTTGACATCTGTTAATTCCTCGGACAAAGTTATGTTGGAGACGGGCTGGCATATTTCTCCGATGTTTAAGTAGTGCCAACGTTCGGTCTGATAACCAGAGCTTGAGTGCGTCTGGTGGTGCTATGCCACATGCAGAACTCCCGGTACTATGCAAAGAGGTGCCAATCTCGTCCGAGTATGAGTTCACACCCGATGGTGGAGCACTTGGAAGAGACTGTAGAGGATAATTCTATTAAGTTCGTCTAACATCCGAATCTGCCAGTATCCCAGTTGCCAAGTGATTTACCTGCACATTAGGCGGCCTGGAACTCGAAGGGAGAAGCAACTCCAAGCGAGTGGGTGGTCGGAATCCGGTCGTTTCAAAACGACCGGCGGTCAGTTATCGATCCGTGCCATCGGTAACTGATGGCAGTGTGATCGATTTGAGCTTGTGTTCGGTATGCCGTTGGAGGACATTATGTAGTCAGACGACGTCGGCTATTTCGGAAGTTGGTACTGCATAAATACAGCCTGCAGTCAGCACACAGCTGAAGCAATCGTTCTCCATTGCCCGTACGCACCGAGTCTATCCATCGTCGACATCGCAAGCGAGCTTCAGATACTCTGAGATTGCTCTTTTGGGCATGCAGGTTTCCGGCAACCAACACGGTATCTGAGGTTTTAGCTCGCCGCAACATGGTATTCAGAGCGTCCTAAAACCTGTCTTTGATGGTGTCGGAGCTACAGTCGGCCGGCGCGTAAGCAGACACGGTAAACAGACATCGATCAACTTTCCGCCTCTGAGACTCCTTCAGGGACATCGTCAGACGAACCACACGAAGGCAGCTATCAGCAGGTGTCCATTCAGGCAAGGATACATCCACCCGGTGATATAGGATGATACGAACCCCTGCATATTCTGCAGATGCCTCTAAATCACCATAGGTGCGTAGGCGGAAACGAGCGGAGACTGATGGGGTGGTTGGCTCAACAACTGTGGCTACATCTTGAATTCTTGTTCCCGAGACACAACACACATCACCGCCAAGCGAGTCCAGTGTTTTAGCAGGAGTAGCTTGTAGATTTGCTTGCTTCAGCGTGTGGACATAGAAGGCAGCCAGACAGACTTGGAATCGAGGCGTGAAGATTGATTTCAAGATACCTGTGCAGATGTTGCACAAGTGAATTTCTTTGAAAGAAGCTACTTTCAAAATCAGACAGAATTCATATGATGAGTTCTCCTCTAAAATGAACCGTATGTTTGAGCAAAACAATACAAAATCTTGGTGGCTCGTCCATCCCAAGCACGAACATGTTCACCTGTACATATGTTAAAAAAATCGGATGAGTCCAGTGTGCGCTTTTGGAGTAGTGGCAAGTGTCAAGAGGGTCAGATTCCTAAAGGTTATCCCAGAATATCCGAAACCTACTTAGACCCTCAGACTCGACTAAACGTCAGACAGACTGCCTTGGGTTAAAGTAAAATGTTCCCTTGAAAATATAGCACGAGACAGCCTGGGATCAAGGTCAAACAGTGTCCTTAAAAATGCAGCGCGAGGCCACTGTACTTGTACGCACATGCTTGTTGCAATGAGGCTGTTGTGTCCCTTGTCGGCGAGTCTTTTTTTCCGGCACTAGGCACTGGAGCGGGGACAGCAGTCAAATGTAGCATTATCACGCTCGCCCCACATGTCAGATGTCCGGTGTTTAAAACCCGTCACGGCCATTGGATACATACTGATAGGAGCGAAACTCGAGTCCAGTGCCTCCACTCCTTTTGTGTAAACCCATCAAAAGGATTGCGTCAGGACAAAAGGACGATTGTTCAAACAAGTCATGTCAGTATGCATTCCATAGAAGTCCCGCAACCACTAACATCTGAAAACATTATTAGTTTCATCCCAAGTACCTACTCGTAGAACGTGCCGTTTTGTAAATTCTAGGTGTATAATGAGCTGAATAGGCAGGGAGACGCAAAGTATTACCTTCCAAACAGCGCCGATCTACGTTGAGTGAGCTCGGTAACACATAGTAACCTATTCTGCCCTGGGAAACCAGAGTTCCCATCGTGGGAGAACATCTCCGATAATTTGATAACTTGATAATTTCGTGAGTAATAAAGGTATAATAAATTAGTTCCCCATGGTGCGTTTGTTAAAATGCGTGTGAAACAAATAATGGAAATGCTGATCCTGTCTATTTGTGTGTACAGAATCTTGTAGAAAGCAAAACCCTCATTGTTCTGGTGACACCGTGTGGTGGTTTTTCTCTCTAAAAAAATTCTGGTTCTGAGTATGGCTGGGCGGGGGTTGAAGAAGCTCAGCTGGGATTTGGTTCTTTTTTATTTGGACAAAGGACTTTCGCGATAACCATCGAATGCACGACTGGACAGCTACAAATATGTTTGGGTTTCCCGGAATTGTTGGGAGAAACATGACGGAAAAAGCGTTTAAGCCGGTTGGGCCGGTGGATTCACGACAAGTCATGAACTATGAAGCTGTCCGATACCCAAAACAAGTCTAACTCGCAACACTTGGTGAAAATGACAGATCTTCATATCGCGACGTAACTTCTCATCGGTAGTTTTTGGTTGTCGGTATTGACAAGTTGTTTACATTCGTGGAAATATTCCATTGAAAATTTGAGCATTAAAGTCTTGTTTCGGCGAAGCTTTCGAGGAGCGACACAATGCAAATGATTAAATGCACCTAAATCGTTGAACCGTTCTTACGGACAGTTGTTCCATGGTTTGTCGGGACCCATTGCGCCATCTGAGCGGAAGTATTCTGGACCAACGTGTGTTTAAGTAACGTGTAATGGATCTTACCAACGTTTCCCGGTATTTTTTGATGAGTGTTAGGTCCTTCTATTTTGCCAGTGGTCTGATTGAGTACGTGTATCTCACCTGGTTCTGTCTGATCAAACTGATGCAACTGAATTGAGCGAAATATCTTAGCAAGCCAAGCTGGCTTCAATATTTCGGGTTTATTTCGCTGTCTCATCAGGCACGTGCACCAAATTTCAACATATCCGACTACTTCTTACAGTGAATCACATGAAGCACAACTGGCCCTGATCGTGCCCTCACTGGCACGTGAGCTTCGACTATCAAAAAAAAGCTGTCGTCACTTCCTGACTAGGCAAGTTTTCATGCACTCAGATGAAACGACAGGTGATGTTGGATTTCGAGGATGTTGACGGAAATGAGGAGTTGCTTCAAGAGCAGATGAAACTCAGGGGCACAGGCCAAACCACCTAGTGGAGCCTTGGTTCTAGCCAGTCACCTCAGAAGCGAGCGAAATTGTTATAAACTGTCGAAAAAACAGCACTCTCATATTTTTTCAGAAGGTTTAGTAAATATTAGGTGGAGTTATTAACCTACTAAATGCTTCTGAAACGACCGCTTCAAAACATTCTTCAACTAACAGAGTTCACTGATACATCTTCAGGTGGCTGTAACAATCCTCATCTATCTTAGTAAAAAAGGGGTCCGCAAAGAGCGCGTCCTAAATCCAGTTATATTTAAGGTGAACATTTATCTCAGTCATTATGTCCCCGAGCACAATACATTAGTAAATAACGTGAACACATATAAAGAATTTCGAAAATCCTTTCATTGGTCCCTTTATTCATTCCGATGATACATACAGAAGACATGTATCGCACAACGTTAACGATTCTTTTAACCCTCTCAATCGCAAGAAGTATAACTTACAGTTTGTTGATAAACAGCTTTGGAGCCAAGATAGAACTGAGAGACGATCAACAGTCAGGCAAACAACTTGGTTAAATCCGCGAAAGTGGTGTTTCTCCTCGAAACCATCTCCAAATACACTACTGAATTGGGATTCTCCGCGTAACAGCTGAGTGGGGTTTCGGTTCCATAACGACATACAATATAAGTGTTTTGAATATGTTCATTGGCTTGTTTTTTGCGGGAGGAATTCGCAAATGAAAATGCTGGGTTACGAGTAAACTTGTGGTCGCTTGGAGTCACTTGTGTAACTACCATGGTGTTTTTTAGGCCACTTGTCCTCACACAGATCCATCTGCTCTACCGAAGTAGAATTCTGTGTGCTCGCAGGGGAGCTGGTAGATTAAATTCGTGGCAAATGAGTCCGACAGATTACGCTCGGTCTTTTGCAGGCCAGTACCCTCGGTAATTTCTCGACTCATGACGCTACTTATAAGGTCACTGAAAACTTTCATAGCCCACTGTTAGTTCCACCTTTGTTCGGTCCCATCAGGTGGGCCTGATCCCCAAACATCGTATACACACGTACACTTTGGTGGTTTGATCGTTGCAGGTTATCCTTGCCAAAACAGAGATTGTGGGAAAGATGCGATTTGTTAGACCTGATCTCCTTGTTTCTTTCCATAGCTGTCAAGAAAGACTGGAGTTACATGCGATGTCTGATGTTCGTCAAATTAGACAGTCGCCTCTGTGTTCTTGCCAGCTGCTTTCAGGTCGTTTTGCATGCTGAAGTATAGATTTCTTTCTCACAGCGGTTAACTTGGAAAGGCTGACCACAATTCGTATCTCTATAGAGCTCTCAGTAAAAACTGTATTGTAAGACCCGAGGGAAAAATGAGATTGTAAGCATGTATGCTTTTACTGTGGTTGATATCATACTGTTTTACGATTTGTATCAGACTTGACAGACCGGAAAATGAGTGCCATGTTTACTTTGAATCCAAAATGGCACAGACCCACCATTCACTCGAGTTAAGTGGAAAAAACTGTAACATCGAAATTGAAGGAACGTAAAGCGACATAAATGACCAGTTTACGTTAGTGTATTATTGAAGCCCGTAGCATCAACAGCTTTCATAGAGTATAAACGTGGGTCATCTGGACCATGATGTCTAGAGCTCCTTTCGCCCAGTTATGTATAACGTGATCAGACAATGATTGCACCGCAAAATGGCAACACTGCATTGGCCGTGGCCAGGGTCAGTAAACTTGGTCGCTTCGGAAACCACTGTTTACAAAGCCACAAACTCGGTAGGAAGTCACGATAGAAGCCGGTGTCACTGAAAAGCAGGTTGCCGATCATGCTTGCATTAACACTCCATTTAAACGTGCCAAGTTGTCGCGATTCCTCCCTGACACATTATTCCCAAATTTCTCATACGTGAGTGCCTCTTCATCACATTTCAGGTGCTTTCGAAATACAGCTTATTGGTACAGTGAGGATATTTGAGGATTTTCAATGAAGATTTTGTGTTGTAAGTGAGGCCCATCTATGCTGAAAAGCGAAAAACAGCTACACAGCTGTTTCATACTTATTGAGGATTGTCGGCGATAAGCATCTTACTCAGAGATTTTCGAACTTTCGACTTTTCGGCCAGTGGATAAGCAATCAAGATTTCGACCTCGAGCGGCTGGACAGTAGTGTGACTAGCCTCCCCTTAGACAGGATATATCGCCACTCAACCTTCAATCACGGAAACCACATCACGTGCTAACGCGTTGGCTGACTCTCTGATTGACGACGTTCCAGATGGGAGGCTCTGTCGTTTTATTACGTAACACCTGTACAGTGCTCCTCGTCTTTTCAAGACGGGCTGACTTAACTTACACGACAAAATTTCCATTGGACAAAGACGGTTTGTCACGAAGTAAACTGAATGATTTGTACTTTGGTTATCCGTGTTGAATGATCACGTGGTACAGAGCAAATGGGTTTGAAAATGGATGGCACCACAAAACAATGTAGATCAGGGACAAATTGACCCGTGAGAGACCGCTCAACAAACATTGGCTTGGTTGTTCCCAAAGAACCCTTCAGGAAAAATCGAGATCATGGTTGTATTACGAGGAACTGAAGAAGGATTTTGACGAAAATCTGTTTTAGAAGCGGTCCTTGGCCAGATGCATGTGTTAAACTTCCGGGTGGGCTCATAGAGACCAATAAAAAACTTACACACTTAAGGAGTTGTCTGTTCCCAAAACCATCTGCCTAATAGGCCTACAGAAATCGCACCGTGATTGTTTTTGTTCACGTTTAAAAGCTTATATTTTGTGCATCCAACTCTACCACTTCTAGATGCGGATGCCTCCTACCTGATCGATGTGTCGACGGTCTACAAGAACCAAGAGATTGCCTCCGCTATGATCACTGGAAGGACGAAGTCTTCTACTTGTAAGTGGAAAGTGTCCTTCGGAGCAAATCCGTTTTTTACACACTGTCGTGCTTGATTACAACATTATTAATTGTAAACTGTTCCGACTACTATATCCTTTCGGGAAAAACAAACTTCTTGATGCTCCTCCAATATCCAAATATTTTAAGTAGTGTAAATGCTCGGAGGCTTTTACAGGTGTCTGTGGATTGACAGGAACCATGGCGGCGTTATCCAAGTCCAGTATAAATAATAAACAAGTTGGATCTAGAACTTGTTCCGTTTTCTAACCTTCAATTCAGCTCGAAGGCGCCTATTGATTCCGCTGAATTTGCACGTGGCATCGACCGACGCTGATTCAGTCATGCTCATATGGGATGAGCCCGAATGCAATGAAAAGATGACTCAGCCAGACTCAGAGATCAAATGTCTCGGAAAGGAACGAATTCGATCCTACCAGGTCATGTACAGAATGATTGGGGAAAGCCCTGTTACAGAACAGATTCAGTCGGTCGATGGAAGTCAGGAAAGTGATCCCGCTGAACCGGACGACAACTGGCTGGTAACGGATACGGAAACCAATGGTAAGCCGCTCCTATCATTGCTTACTTGCAATCATAGTGCTCTGAGACAAGGCCGTTAAATAATTTCTGGTGCGATTCATGTAGGCTTTGTTGAAACTGCCTTACTAAGTTTGACTGGTTTGCACGCTATTCTGCAATTGTATACACTTACTTTCCGCTGTCCCAAACAGTATTTTGTGTGCCCCAGGCATATGAAGTTGACAGACTTCGAATAATATTTTCCAAGTGTGATGAAAACTTCCAACACTGCCTGGAGTCAGAATAAGACGGCAGATACAACTGAGCAGTTGTTTGTGCAACTTCTGCTTTAAAATACGGGGCATCTTCTAACGTTCAGTGTTCAGCTGTACCTCGCTGGCTTCATTAAATTCCGACTGTACGTGGGTACCCTAAAACTGAAATATAGTCATATAAAACGGTACAGGTAACGCTTTTTAAAGGTCTCTTTGTCTGCGTTCATAAACCCACACGAACCGCCTACTTCCTAAAAGTTCCAACTGTTTACACAAACGTACAGTACCCATCAGAAAAACGTTTCCGCCTATAAAGGTTATGAAACCAGTGAGGTACGAGACTTATCAATTGGTTGGATTAACTCCCATAGGTTTTCTATGATAGCTAGTTGACCTAAGGTCAAAAGATACGCAATCGTTATTAACGTATGCGTTAAAAAATAACTAAGGAAACAACTAATGTACAAGAAGCTGGAATCTAATCGATCTTGGATTCGCTCCGGGGAAGCCGTCAAATTTTTGTTGGATATTTTAGGCTGATCAGTTAGCACTTTTTCCGCGAGTTAAATGACAATATAAGATTTCGAAATTTTCAAACGAAATTTCATCGCCAACGTCCATCCCACGAGTCCCTAATTGGACTAATGACGTCGTAGTTGGTAGTTAAAAATTAAAACGTTCTGCCAGATTTATTCACAGGATGGAATCTCAGTGGAGACTTTCCCAACATCCTTGTACCACCAACAGACCATATATATCTTGGACGAAATAATACTTCATAAAATGAGAGAACTTTCCAGATGAGAAGTCATTACTTAAGCAGCCAGTCAACTCATGATCAGGCGAACTGAAATTCGTAGGTGAAGGATGGGCAACGCTCTAACCTGTCACAATGCAAATTAGTCACACTGCTTATCAGCCGCTCGTGGGAGAACGGCTTCGTTTGTCGCTGTTAGTCTGGAGACATCGGGTTCAAACGAACCTAAGAGAGTCGTGAGATGTGCACTGATGATGATTTCCAACGGAATTGAAATTGCTGTATAGTACTATTCGACTTTCAAGCAATGGGTGACTTCACCAACAGGACAAGAGCACGATTGGATGGAATTTGACAATGCTTGTTTGAGCTCCTGGCTATGATACCGGATATCCTTATGTTTTATTTGTTACGGTGTGGCGTACTGGTACCCTTGGAATACTGTTAGAGTCTTTGAAACTGCATTGTATGGTGTAGCAATTTTGGGGTCACCAGTTAGTTAACCTCTTCTGTCATTTGTTTCCAGAGAATGAACTGAATGACTTTAAGTCAGCGGACGGCTCGATGCACATTATCAACGTAACGCGAACGTGGGCAAGACTAGATAACTTGCTTCCAGGATGTCGGTACTCAGCTGCAGTGCGAGCTGTTGGAACGGGCGTGGAGCCGAATTCGGATGTCTTGTACAGCGAATGGAGCATGACCGAATTATTTGAAACGCCAAGACGTGGTACGTGTCACTGAGTTTCTAATTATTCCCATGGACAATGTAAATAACATAAATGAATACTCCTCATGCATGCTATTAGGTTTTCAACGATGCAGTGATGTAGAACGCTAGACGACCAACAGTCATCCGTGCTTGGTTGGTGGATAGCTGCCTGAACATCGTGCTCTCACGAGGATGCTGAGACGTACCGGCAGATAAGCGGAAACCCAGTTTAGGTGTCAAACTGATCGCCTCCAAATTCGATAAGGTTTCTTGATATCACCAGCGCCCCGATCAGAGAAGTTCTTCAAAGTCAGAATACGTCTGGGTAGACACTGCCAGGAAATATTCCTTCACTGATTCCGTAGTGGGACCATCCAAAACATGCTGTGCTCGAGTGAGCGTGCGGTGAATTAACCAGCATCATGAATGGGAGGTGGGAGTTCCTGTAGACTATCAGTCCGCACGTGTGTAGCACAGATTCATGTGAAAGAGAATACGCGGAAATGCTTGTGGTCAGAAACAGTCAGTTTATCATCCATCATTTATCAAGTTTATGCCAGTATGCCAATCATACCGCCTCAACTGTGAACGTATTTGTCTATCCAGGCACAGTAGTTCAGATACGCTCAGCATGCGCATTGCAAGTCAGATATGTGGAATTCAAAGAGTGTGCACTACTGAGACTCTGCTTGCGGTGAACGTACCATAAATACTGTGTCCAGACAGGCAAGCTTTTCAGACGAGAGTACTGTTACTAGATAGGACTTACACCTTCAACTGCACAAATGCATCAGCTTTATCTGTGACAGACAGTTTCATAACCACTACATCACCTTACTTTGCACCTTAGCAGCCCATGGTTAGTTATGGTCTAATTCTTCTTGGTAAGAAAACCCTAATGATAATCAGTTAACGAGATAACATCCATTGTACACAGGCCCAGAGGATGCCCCCGCAGATTTGCAGCTAACTAACATGCCAACGGGATCGGGCCCGGCGCGTATACAAATCTCGTGGCAACCACCCCAGCGGCCACATGGACAGCTCGTCAGCTACATTCTCTACTTTACGCTAAACCACAGTCTTCCAATTTCAAAATGGTCAAAACGAAAATTACCAGCAAACAGTTTGAACACCGTTCTGAACGGTCTTCATCGTGGTGTTGTCTACTTTTTACACATGCGGGCGCGTAACCGTCATGGAAACGGACCACTATCTCCAGTACGCTTGTTTCGCACTCCAGATGGTGAGTCGGTTGTGTGGAATCGGATCCTTATTTTTTTTGTTTGATGTTGTTTGGTTTGTTTCATTTCTTCTCTGTCTGAGGAGTTGCTCAGCTGGTATTCCTTTCAGACAGCTTGCGGGGCGTAGTCTCAGCCATACCGTGTTCAGCCTGTTGATTGACTCACAACCTTGTTTAACCCAGTACCTCAAACCAATCGATGCTCTCCCTATGCTGTCTGTTCAAGTTGGCGCTGTTTTCCATACCTGACTCTTGGAAGTAGGATCTGCAGCTTTTCAAGACATGCTAGATATGATTCGCAAAATACAGGAAATATCAAAAGAAAGACAAAATAAGAGTAAAGGCATAATTAGTGTGTCGTTAAATTATCCATCTGCGCAACTGGAACACCATCATGAGAGGGAAAGCGAGTGAGTCTCTGTTTTCAAGGGGCACTAGCCTCAGCCAGTATCAACACGCTGGTGATGGCTAGTGTGTGTTCAAACTCGTTCCCTTGGTCAGTGTGAAGTTCGAGCTAAATCAAACAGTAACTGATGAAACCTGTTTGTCAGCTACTTCCACGTACTGCAGACTACTTTTACAGAGAGGCTTGGCGATCCTCACCATCTCGCCTATCAGTCACTGTGATGTGAATCCTGAAACTTCCACATTTTTCCGAAATATTCTGTCTCGTTCATTCCCTGCCAGTGCTGAGTCTTTTACTATCATCTGATATTCGCCTGCGATTCTTGCTGATTTATTTAATAGAGATTTCGTCTTGCATGTGAGGCCAATCAATGCTGAAAAACCAGGATGCATTGCACATTGGTACAGTACTGTGGTTTTTGTGATCTAAGGACGAGTGGCAACATATATTGTCTAAGTGCAAATTATCTCACTGATGATCATGTTTGAGACTACGCATTGGAGTTTTTGAGATGCACGCTGCTGCTGATTTTCAATAAAGAGAAAACAACTACATGGTCCTTCTTGGCCTTTCAGCGTAGACTGGCTTATCTTACAGTACGAAGTCTCCACTGAGAACCCCAAATCTCCTTACACAGAGAACAGTCTTGGTGATTTGTTTATGCGGCGCTTGACATCACAATTCTGACCCAATTGTAATCCAAAATAAACCCCTGTGCACTATTCATGACCTACGTTGCCAAAACGGTATCTAGTTCCATGAATATGAGTACAGTTAGACGATGCTTTATTGCTGATACAACTCCATACAGAATAATACATAACGGCTATGCAACTTATGCGGGAGACAAGCAGCCAGTAAATTATGCACCATAACTGGTGTGCACAGATAGTGCATGAGTATTCCACACAGATTTAATGGGTCTAATGTACAAAGTCCGAGCAGATCAACATTTAAGTAGTTCTCCCTCCCCAGTCCAGATGCCCTAGCATATACCAATTTAGACAGACCAACAAAATTTGTAAACGGCTCCTAAGAGGACTATCCAATTGCAGCGGCCGAAAACAGATGGAGAGTGATGTTAACTCTCCTTCCTGACCTATCAGTCGTTAACCTCAGTTACACAAACCAACCAACAAGAATGTTTGATTAACATTCAACAAGTTCTGCTGGTTGAACGAAAACTTACTGATTTTTTCTGCACCTGCCTTGAAGCCTAATTAGCCTGATGCCTATCCACTTGGCCCGACGTGGCTTTTATGTCAAAAGCGAGACCTTATGCAGTAGTAAACCAATCGATTATTTATCAGACCACTCAGAAGTGCAAGTCTTCTGCAAAGTGATGATGCGCTTATGACAATGATGATAATGATGGTTATCAACAAAATCGTCATCATCACCGCCATCGTGATCATCATTATGATCATCACCATCAAAACCAGCAGCAGAACACAGTTAATGCTCTTAAAGTAAACAGAAACGGGTGGAATGGAGAAAGAGCTGTAACTAGCCCACCAAAATCATACCAATATGACTCTGGACGAACTGACTGCATGAATGCGACTGATATCGGTTAGCCTCTGCTTCACATCGTCAAATTGCATCGTGCACTACCACTGTAATCTTCCTGTCTGAATGGTAGGCAGAGGAATACGTCTACTCTTCTGGCAACACGGGCCTACACTCTCTTGGACGTATGGACTTGGTTGAACCTCAAGACTTCATTGAGCTGGTGCGTCTAGCAAAATCTGTGATGACAGAATACAGGCAGTCCTCATGACCACATTTTGCTGCGAAAATTCGCTAGCTGCGACGAATGAGGGTGAATTTTTCGTCTCGCTTATGTATGCCTGTCTAGTTGGGGCATATCATGCGTCCATGGTAAGGAAGCTTGAAGCGGCGTTTCATTTCAGTCATTATGATAAATTTGGTATAATGTGCATTGTTGTCAGGTGAGCAAGTCACTTCCCAGTACTGGCAATAATTAAACCGTCGAGTAACACCGTAAATACTCGAAAATAACTGCTTCACTGCTAACAAGTAGTTGAAGCTCCCGGGGATAATATTGCACTGACTTAAACAAATGTCTCATAGTTGTGGGATAATGTGATTGGTGGAAGCTGAATTGGTTCGGCGATGCATCATGTGAATCAGGTCACGTTTAGGTCATACCAACATCAAGTTGATGAAATGCAGATGCTGGCCAGCCCAAGTGTGCTCACAAATGGTCTACTTTTGGGTGGCGCAACCGATACTTAGTACAACCTGGAAATCGAAGAATTGACACAATCCACTTCCATCTGATTTTCCACATTGAATTCAATGTACAAAGAGCGATGGTTTATTGCCAGCATGGAGAAGTTTGCACAGCTCTCTAAGACCTTCGAGATTCCTGTGGTGACACCAGGGTTCACCGTTTTCCGATCTCACTTCAAAACTTGGTCCGAGAATATCCTCCGGTAGTGAGTCTGGTTAAGTCTTCTAAACTCTAAAAGTAATACTAGTCATGCGTGACAGAAACAACTGTTTTGAGTTCCATACGTGTGAGAAAAAGTTTTTTTTGTTGCACTGCCTTCGGCTCTATTTCGGGGGCAGAATGGAAGCCAGAACTTTGTAACCAGAGGGCAGTTTTCGTTGCTCCTACATTGGCAGATTAACCTACAGACTGGGTTCTGTTTACAAAAATTTGTATCTTTGTAGCGACTACAACAGGACAGATCTGCGACTCACAAATAGGTACAATTGGAAAGATTGGGTAGCAGTTGTCTATTTCTGGCATAATTAACGTCGGCATTATATATATATTTTTTTCACGATTGGAATATTCATTGCGGCAGCGGAACCAGCTCATCTGTTAGAGTTTTGCCCTCTGCGCATGGTGAAAATGTATAGTCTCTCGATCTTTCATCATGAGCGTATCGAATCACTGATCGTGCCTGACAGGGAGGTTAAGCAACTGAGATGAGCCAGATGGTTATCCGCAGGAACGACTCGTCCACCACAGATGTTAGTCATGACCTATGGTCATGTTGCGCTTGTCCTTAGATCACCCGCTCCACAAGATCTGACCTATTTGGCTGCCTGCATGGTTGTATAACATATTGTAGGTCTTTGATTTGAAATTTTTGACCAACAAAATCTTTTGAGTTAGCCACCGCCGTCTTCGCAGATAGGAAGTCCGGAAGGAAACATATTGATCGAAGTTAGCGTTAAAAGACAGGACTGCGCAATCAGCTCCCGCACCAAATTTAGAGTATTGTGTGAGTCTCAGAAGTACTGTAGAACTGTTCAAACTTAGTGAATCAAATCAGCTATTGTTCTCAATAATTCGTCATTACTTATGTGAAGAAACACGCTACTCATAAGGCTATTGAAAATTCTTTGGTAGCTCACACGTGTCTCTCTTTTTGGGCTTCATCATAAACGAGCGGTTTAGCTGTGTTTTCAACTAAAGCCAGGTTGGTGTGAATTAGCAATGTCACTATCATCGACAACATAACACCAGCGTGGACATGGAAACCTCGCTGACGTAAAACGAGCTGATGACATTGGGCGACGGCCGATGTGGCATTGTCAAACGTAGAAATCATGGCTGTTCTTGAAGAGGGATAGTGCTAGGGGGCCCTGATGACATTGGGCGACGGCCGGTGTGGCATGACACTACTGTCAAACGTAGAAATCATGGTTGTTCTTGAAGAGGGATAGTGCTAGGGGGCCCAGAAAATTAAGGCTCTCAACCAAACCTTCGGTTCGAACACCTGACCACAAGGCAGCAGTGTTTGGCGAGAAATGTGAGTGCATTCCCTTTTTTAGAATGACAAGTCGCCATATATTTGCCAATCCCCACCGGACGATCAAGAGAATATGTTGGTCAGACATCAAACCACTGACCAACCTGGAATGTGTACTGCTCGGAAGATTGCCTCATGAACACCCCTAGCACAGCTCAGTGGACCACGGAGGTACATGAGCAGTCAAACCACCGTGAGATCTAGTCTCTTCGTGACAGAAATTAGTGTACAACTTAGTGCAGTTCACGAAGTGAGTAAGATGTTGGTTCGGGTAGAGCATAAAGTTGATGTGAACTCGGGGACTGCACCTATTTAACAAACCTGAAGAAGGGCGAAACCGGTCGTCGACTTTCCAAGTGTAGTGTATTCCACATTCAGGAAAATATACTGTGATTTACCAAATATGTTGCGGCCTTTAAATCCAAGAACACCATAAAGTAGAAAATCAGTTGGACTTAATTAGATCTCTAGTTTCAACCAAACTCAATTTCAAATCAGTGTATTTCGCCTAATTTTCTTTCTATTCCATGCGAACGAAGCTGGAACTTGGAATCAATATGCTGCTCAAACAGCGAGCTGGGCCTGCCAACAAACAACCATCACTTTTGTTTACATAACCGGTCAAAAATCGTTCATTTTAAGTTTTTCACTTCAATTAAATAGAATGCCATAGCTGCTTAGTGCGAGTATAGTCGCCGGCACGGTTTATTGGACCTGGTTCGTGTTGATCACAATAGGTGTTCAGCCTTGAAATGAAACTGAGAATCGCCTGGACAGAGGTGTTCCTGTTTAACTGAAGATCTGTTCACCCTAGATTTAATGCCGGTTCCTCGACAACTTAAAGGCCAAACAGTAGGGAGTGTCGTCCCATGAAGTGGGATTAGATTGTACCGGTTATCAAACTAGGTAGAATTGGCTGACTGACTGACCGACTCAATGATTGCTTAATTAGTTGATTGGTTGAATGCCTGGCTGAGTCAGCGATTTACCGGTCAGGTTATTTATTTACTTACTTATTTATTTATTTAGTGAATAGGAGATTGGGTGATTGAGTGTTCTATCGTGCGTTTTCGTGATTGATCGGCCCAGGTGTTGATGGATAGATGGCTTAATCAGCCCAAGTACTCATCGAGTTTTTGATAAGTGGGTTGATTCTAAATGTCAACTTATCCTGGCTAGTGCTCCTTTAAATTCTCAGATGTCTCTAGGGATAGACCGGTATAGAGTGATCGTTCGTATTATTGTGTGGTTACCATTTTTTTAGTACTGAAGAGCTCACTCTTTGGTTAACCTGACTGGTAAGAAAGCCTGACATCTTAAATACGATGAGCCAAGCTAAATATATCCAACCAAGTTGACAGTGATAGCACACTTGACCAACATCTACGGTCTTCACTCTCTTCGTCAAATGGCCAAATGTTGGACTGTTACGCATAAACTCTATACAACCCTCCCGTCTGTTCTGCTGTCCTAACAGCTTCTGGACAAGGAGGGGGAGAGATCCCGATTGGGCGTAACTACCCGGATGCTTATTCCATTCCGAAAGATCTCCTTGCCCTTGTTGCGCCCAGTGATCAAGAACACACAATTCGCGATGTCTCCGTTCCTGCTGCGTCGAATGGCACACGGTGGCTGTTCTTTGGCTTTGTACTGGGCTCCATTATACTGCTTATTGTGATCGTATGTGCACTCTTGATCCAACGCCGGAGGCAAATTCGTTTGTCGGCATCTTTCGGGTAGGTTGTGAAGCAGGTTTCTATCTTTTTGTACGGCACCCATGCTGAAAAATTCCTCAGATGAACTCGTTTGTACACCAGCAGTTCGATTTATAATTGCTGATCCATCAGTATACGTGCATCACAGATCAATACCAAAGTAAGCAATAACTTTCCATAGCGGAAAAAAAAATTCTGTCGATCTTACATACGTTGCGTTCATCGGCACCCATTGCCGCACCGCTAGTGCACAAAAATACGCGAACTCAGTCGTTGGAACAACCGATGGAAGTGTTTAACATGGAACCAAAGTAAATACTTGTGTTCGCGCGGATACGTTTCACGCACGTGCGTTTCGCACGTATTCAATTCGTTTGCGGGGACTGCGCCTGTCTGACAAATCCCAAGAAGGGTGAAAGTGACTATAGTCTTTCGGAGAGGTTCCAGCCAAATATTCCTCAAAAACATATTGCACTATCTCAAATTCCGTACAAGCCGAAACATGAGGTGGCCTTTGTGCATCGCCCGCAGTTGAATATCATAAACGAAAGATCCAGCTTGAGTCTCCTGTTAAAACCAAAGTGGCATGCGGATAGGTGCATATCGTGAATTTCGTACATTTTGGGTACAAGTAGAACATATGATCGATGGAAGGTAGACAGGTGCGTCCGTCTTACGAGCCCCAAGATGGATCAAACCAGTCGAGGACGAGTGGGAAGTTTTCAGTCATCTTATGAGTAATTTATCTTCAAAAAGTCCATTACAAACTGTTGAAGCTAGTTGGTATCTTTCGATTTTTTGTTCGGAGGTTAAATTTGAAAACATTTCCTATAGACTTCGTGATAAACAGCGTAACAATAGTTGACCTATGAAACGGCCATCATGAAAATAATGACACCGTAGTATGGTCCAAAAAGTACTCAAATCTCGCGTTGTTTACAGCGATGGAAATCTGTTGACCTGTTTCGTGGTTGGGTCAAGTAAAACTGGATAAGCAACTTTGCCTCCGGGATTCTTTGGCAATCAAAGTTTAGAAGAACCAGCTTCGCACCCAGGCCTTGTTGCTTTACTATCTTTGCACTTGTCTGTCAGCACTTACTGATTAATCCAGTCGTTAATAGCCACCGCTGTGTCCTACATTTCAATTATGCTTGCAGGTCACGAGTGTTGCAGTATATGCATTTGCTCTCATTACCTACCGATTCGCACACATTTTCAACATAACTGGCACGGTGCCATTTATTTTCCCGGTCTGTTTTTCCAATCTTTGAATACTTGTCTCATGATTATGTTTGATGCCATCACAACGCAGTCAGTCAGCTTATACCAGTGCATCCTGAATCTGAGATATGCACTGAGAACATCAACGGACCGGCGCCGGCCTTACCACTGACTCTGACAAAGGTTCACAAGATGAGGCTGCTCTGTTTTGTCCTTCACCCTGCATCCCTGTGGTCCACCTACGCAGGCACGAAAGCAGCAAAGACTCAAAGATGCATTTGAAGGGACTGCACTTACATACTGTAAGCTGGAGGTAAACTGGGACTTGATTCTCGAGCCAACGAACGTCGGGGTTGAAAAATAAACTGTGGTCGGGCATTGGCCGCCTGTAAAAAAGTACATTCCACCGATGAATCTAAGACACACCCTTCACAAGCCCCTTTCCACGGCTGAAACAGCACTAGCAGTGCTAACACAATAGAGGCATAAGCCACAGTAAGGATGATGAGTAGTTTGGGGTAAGGTAGACTTGCATGAGTGAGTACCTGCTCTGTAAAAGGAGGGTTTCATGAGAGTGCGTACTAATTGAAGTCAGTCAGACACTGACAATTTTCAAAAAGGATTCTCCCATAGAAGTCAGCGGCAGATTAACGACTAGTCTGCTGGTGGTTGGCGATGCCATAATACGGTAGAAATCGACGTGAGGCCCATCAAACTTGTGTTCACTTCAATTCAGTTTTCCAACCACGAGCCGTTCACTAGCGGCGTCAGTTTGGAATAACAAAGCATTAGGATGCATTCTTTAAGTTTATCACATCCACTTATTCCATTTGCGCGGTCAACAACAACAAGTAACAATTTTTTCAAGCTTGACTTTCACTCTAAAGCCCTAGTAAAGAGGCAAACTGGAAATTCGCCGGAACATTTATGTCTTGGTTGTGTTCATTGGTAGATAATCTGGTTCGCCGAGCTTGGCAATTAGCTTGCCAATGTTTTGTCATTAACCGAATTAACTTCATCAGTGTGCGGTTGATAATGTCACTTCGATTGCTGATGTAACGCTTGAAGCCACGTTCCAAGCTCGGAGAACAGACCAACGTCCATTCGATCAACCACCATGGAGCAAGCTAACTGTACCAAAGTGTTTTTTGTATGACATTCGTTCATGTTGCAGCGTTCTGATCCGAATCCCCTAATTAATGCGGGATACTCACCAACCAAAGGTGCGAAAAGCTTAACTTGACTTGATACGGTCTTATTGCTCTGATAGATACCATATATATCCCTTAATTATTCCATCTAGTCGGAAGCCTGCGGTTCATTTGGATGAACCCGAAAACAAGCAGGAGCTGCTGGATTCCTCGAACAAGTTCTCGAGTCATAATCGGCGCAGGCGGAAATTTTTATCTTACGACCAATCACCGAATCAAGATGTCGCCCTCCTCGTCAGCAACGGAGAGGCCCTTATCGGATCTGATGTACCAACCAATGTGGAGGGGAAGTTCCCCACGGAAGCATTGACCACGTCAGTAACTTTATCTGCAGGTGCTTTCTCCGTCGGAGCGACTATGACTCCTAAACCAGAAGGAATTCTGGTGCATAGTCAACCACAAATGCGTAAGTTGTACATCTGCAATGAAAATTGACCAGTTTGTTGGGATGATTTTTACTCGGCACTCTATGTGTATTCTATTGTCTTCCCTTTAGAAAATACCACAGGGTCTTGGGATCGAGATTCCGACTCAGTCAATTTTGTTTCTGTATCCCAACATCGCCCGGAAGGCTACGGTGGTGTGGTGGGACTGACGCTCCATGACCAAAATCGTAATCCCACACCCACTCGGACACTCAGTGGGAGCAGCAACTCTTGCGCAGGTAGTACGGGCACCCCAACACGGATTGCTCCCAACTCAACATATCAAACTCACAGACCACTACATCTAAATGCTGCTGTAAGTTACAGTGTGGTTGACCCCTTTGGGCAAATTTTGCAAACCACTTCTTGACCCAACTGCCCATCTAGGTCACGAGTTTGTCATTTATGTGGCCGTCATTCTATTTCCGAACTACGTTTTTGTACTTTGACGTTTGAACGGTGGGAACATCGATTAATTCCCCATTCCTTTACATCTTTCCAATGGATTCATCTATACAGACGGGACCGAATCCCATGCATTCGTATGCATCTCTGACCATAGGAGGAACGCATATCGGTCCACACTACATGGTTCCAAACTCTCCGCCACAACCAATCAGTGGTACACCTCAGGTACCTCTGAATGGAATTTCTATACCGCCATATTATCCAATGGGCTCTTTACCTGGTACACAGTCAGTGCACCTGCCACCTGGCAGGGTTATGTTTGATCGACGCCCGATCGCCCCCTCTCAGCTTGTCTACCCATACGCCGCACAAGCACCTTATCCAAGTGAAATGGCCTACGGTGGGAACACTGGTGAGTTGTACGGTTTCGCTACGTGTTCCATAGGACTGCACTGATTTTTTGCCCTTCGAATATCTAGAACACACTGGCAAAATAACTAATCAGCATTGCACTGATTTTTTGCCTTTGCCTATCTAGAACACACTGGCAAAATAACTAATAAGCATGAACAATGTGTTGAAGCTTGGCGGGTGGGCCTTACCGCACGAGGAGATACGAAAACCAATTGAAATTAAATAAGCTCCAGGACAAATAACGACAATTTTCTACAAGACATATTGATCCGGTTGGCCACGTGACAGCAGGTTCTTAGGATTGAAAGTAGTTAACTCAATCATCAATGTATAGAAGTTGTTTTGCAACAGTACTTTGAGGTTTTCAGCTCAACTAAGGTGGACCACTCAGTGAGATCTAAAATGAGCTGGCCTGACCAGTCGTGAATGGACCTTCTTAACAGAACTGGAAGTTTTGGAAAACCCACTTGGTCTGGCATTGAGAATATTTTGGGAGGAAGAAGTGGTTGTCAAAAAAGAGAACTTGATCTGTGACCAAGATTAACTCTCCCGAATTATTTCTGTGTAGATATCGTAGCCTTAATCGGCACTTTTATGTTGTTAAATTTGGAATTCCTGAACGTGGACACCAGGGCTCGCGGCGTCAGCGTTCGAAAATCCAACAACTGCAAGATGGATGAAGACAAGATAAACTGACGATTTTCAGTTCGTCTGCCGGTTGATCGAAAAATGCAGCTTTATTTATTTAGGAAGGGAGATCTGACTGTTAGAAGCAATCCTCTTGACTGGCGTTCATAGACCTCAAATAGAAGACAGTGCGAGTTAATTGGACATGGCTATCTGTCGCCCATGCTCAGTCAGCCGTCGTCGTACATATTTCCATATATGCATGTATATATATATATAAGCCAAAGCTTAGGATCAAGCTTAGGACAAAGCTTAGGGCTAATCCTTGAAACAGTACGACATCACAATGCTTCTTGTGGTCCCATGTCTACTACTTTTACGAATCGAATAATGAAGTATCGAACAAGGGATCTTCAGGATGGAATTTTCCAAATCGTACCACTCAGCCATGAACTAGGGCGTGCATTTAAAAAAGAGATGACACAACTCATCATTCAACCGTGCTACTCACAACCCATAGCTAAGTAAGTTACACCGGCACCCCCTGAAAAGTCTTATTCTGAGATTGAAAGTATCAGCAAACAAGATGAGGAGAAACTGTGTTTGGAGGATAAGTGATACACTATCCAATTCTATGAGGATCCTACGACACAGTCGCTGGATGTTAAAGCAACCTGTTGCAACAGCCGGAGTTGGCTAGTTTTCCGCTCTCTGGCCGTTTTCCCTATGGCTTGTGAAGGTGGCATCCAAAGGCAAAGACACTTTTGACGTCCTCAGTTTATACTGGCTGGCCGATTACGGGGGCTCCATGGATCACACTCAAAGCCGCCAGCTACCGAAAAATTTGATCGTCGCCGGTCGTAGAGGGACGTACTTTTTCTGCAAACCTCTGCCAGATGTAAACGGGAGATAATTAATCCATCCAAGCTTCTGTTAGTAAATCAGTCAAAACCAAATGAAAAAAATTGTGTAAGCGTTCTTTTGCAATTCTCTCTCTGTAAGAACGATGTGGCATTTTTATGATTACCAGGCTCTCGTAGCAGGAATCTGGAAAACGGGATCAGAGTACATTCAGTTAGCTCTAAGTTTCGAAACTTCTTCAGTTGACAAATGCGCCCTCTAGAGATAACAATTCCAGATGCAAAGACCATCATGTCAATCCACATATGGTCTACGGATTTCTCTGCATGGCTTTTGCGTGCGGCGTTTAGGATGGCCGTTGTCATTCAAATGACTTCACTTTCGTCAGCCCAGACCGATGGACTTTCTAGTCTGAGGTCAGAACCATGTAATTCCTCTCAGGAAAAATCGTTTGTCACAAGCAAATACTACTAGCTGGTCTGTCAGGATGCACCTCGACAGTGGAATCCTTCACAGAAGAGACCATCCTACAGAAGAGGTCACTAACGGACCGCTCTGAAGGTGGTATGTACAGGCCATGACAAACAGACCCAGTAGAATTAAGGTATGCTGATTAACCATCGCACTATCTTGTTTGATGTTCACTTCAGGTCAGAATCCCTCTTTCGTACCGACACATCATCAGCCGACCGGCCCGGTTTTGATGGGTGTCAACACGCCCAGAGTGAACGCATCTGATCTCATGTCATTTACAAGTTCCGGTGAGTGAGTTGGTGGGCGAGGGGATAGTGAATAAGTGGGTGAATGAATGAATTTTGTTGACTTCTGTTATCATTGTTGGTCTTTTTTGAAACTTGATTGCCCGTTACTTTTGTGCTCCTGTCATCTCACGTCGCCATGCCAGCGTGCAATGGTCACGTACTTCTTCACTATTGTGTTTGTCTAATAATTGGGATTAAATTTGACCCGGAAAACGAGACAATAGCAAAGTTCTGTTTGTTCCCGCGGTTGTGTTTTCAGATGGCTATACCACTACACGGTCTATACACACAAGCTACTGGCGCATTTTCTCTTGCTAAACGACCGTGGTCTAGCGCCTTTTCAGTCTTTTGCCGACCAATCACTTGGGTTCACGAGCTATCGATGAATAGATGCACCCTCCCACTCGCTCATCATCTTGGTTATGGTTATCGTACCTGTAAGAGACCTAATATTATATCTGAATGATCCAGTAAACATCGAGCCAGTTTATTCACTGTAGTATTTCCCAAACTGTTCTGCTTCAGATGATGTCCGACCGGTGATGTCCTCATCCATTCACAACGAGAGTAAGTTTACTGAGCATTAAATATGCTCATGTGATTTACAACACAAGAGTAATTAAACGTTGATTGACGTTCAAAAGCATCTCCGTCGATTAAGCTACGATCACAGAGCGTAAATCGTTCTCTGCTTAATCGGTAAATGATAAACGATTCCTCAAGCGGATTTTCTCAAACAAATTTTTTCTAACTTTGCATGGACAAATTCATCCATGCCAGTTTCAGGGCCCAAATCGGGTCTTTCTACTGTCCCACGACCGCTAATCAATGAAGACTCGAGAAACCTAGTCCATCACATCTCTTGTCACTGGGTAAGATGGAGCAAATTCGAATAGATGTCTCACCTCATAAGGATTATGTAGAACTAAGAATGTTCCTTTGGCAGCCCTCAAATGTTTGTCCAGTGATACCAATGTAACATACGCCCCAGGTGCAAGCGATTGGGTTTGGACGCAATCACCACTATGTAACAGTCACAAGTTTAAAATAGATTTATGAGGTTTGTGGTGTCATCGCATGACTTTTGACAAGCGGAAGTGGAAGGCATGCGTGGCGACATGTGACTATTTCATTAACTCTCATCGCCAACATGGAATATTCACGTATTAAAAGTATATTCGTGAACACCGATAAGAGGTTTGTAGTCATATAATGTGCAGTAAATTGACAGTTTGCGTCATCGGCCTGTCTGCACGTAGCATATGCCTCAACAACTCAGTGAATGACTGTCAAATCCTAACTTTGGTAGCGTGCCAGGATTAAGGTTGGCGGAATGGTGCCAACCGAACAACTCCAGGTTGAAATGTTCTCCAGTCGATAGAGACGGGGTTCGATTGCTTCTTCGCTTCCCAAGTCACTGTTGTTGCGAGAACCTGAAAACATTCTCCAAGGTGACTAGTCGCCATGTGTGATGCGCATCTGCTCGACCGACAAAGTGCCACCACAGGTGCAACCGAAATGCTCAAACAGCTGGGCCATCGTATTTGAATGAACTGCAGTGTGAGCAAGCAGAGTGGATGGGTAAACAGCGCTCAGTACAGCCATCGGTATTCGTAAACACCCTTGAAATATAATCACCGAAAGTCACCGTCAGTCTACCAAAACACAGCCTGCTCTGAAGTAAGTGTAACGGCCGATTCGAATTCTTGAGCAACGAGCACCAAGGTTAACAACCAAACCGGCAAAACTCCGAACGAATGGCTACGCAAATGTGCTGTACTATAAAAAATGAAAGTAGTTACACGGAATACAAAATTACAAACCTCAACGGTTTTCGACAAACGGTGAGGTACTCCAAAAGGCAAGCAAAGCCGATATGGATCAACAGTCAACGCGTGAACGAAACCGCGTCTCAAACTCATGAATTAAAACAATATATAGCTGCCCAAGGATTTGGTACAAAAATAGTATAACCAGAGCGGTAAAAACGATTTGCGTGGTAAGAAAAACGGAGAATATAGATATCTTGTAAATCTGAAATAGGGTTCAATTCCACCAGTCCAAAAAAGGGCGGTCCATTTGAATTGTTAACCGGGAAGGCAGTCATTCAAGATTGGAGGCAATTTTAAATATATATGAAGTTGCAACAGTAAGCTTTACTATGGATTCTTACGGAGTTTTCTGTTACCCGTTAAGTAGACAGGTTTCTTTCGGGAGCGCTTTCCCCTTAGGTCATTCTTCATAAGTGCAGACTTTTATCAGATCACCAGGAAAGCAGGTTGCAGCTAGAGTAAAGTGGACACTTTGTCACGTTACCTCTAAACACTATCCACCCGCTTTTTTCCTGTTATAATGCCGTGTCCACTGATTCATGTGTTTTACATTCGTGGTCCATAGACACCTGTGTTCAGGAGACTCAATGCATCGCGTGACACTTGATTAGACCAAGTTATCGGTTGATGAGTGCTTCAAAGTACCGGCTGAACAATCATTGTGGCGATGGAAATTCCTCGAGGTCCCATTGATTAGTCCTCACAAGTCAAATTTATATTCACAGAGAACCGCTGGTTGTGTCAATTTTTATTGCTACGTACTACCTTTCTAGCGTTTTTAAGTCATACTATTTATAGTGCACATAACGATATCAAGATAACCGAAAAGCTGCCTGGTCGATAATTAGCAAAACGTTTTCACTTCCGCACTGTCCTTTCTCACAGGGTTTCATAAAGAGCAGGATAACATAAAAAGTAAAGGTTATGAAAAGTTTTCTTCAGCACAGAAAGATGAAGCCAGTTCACGAGTGTCCAGATGAGTTGGCGGATAGCTGTGAACAGTATGTGAATGCTTACCTACTTATCATATTGTTTATGAGGATCCAGAAAACAGCAAAATGAGCAGTTACTAGGACTATCACGCAGGTAGAGACTTGCAAAAATATCACAGAATCTCACAGTAAACAGTGCGTCAAACATATTTACAGCCAAACATGTCGCGCCTACGCACACTCGCTTAAGTCAGCTGGCTAGACTCCTGAGTTCCCACTCAAGCTTGTCCGAGTGATGCCTCTCAGCTGACTCATTGCTTTGCCGGATAGATGTTGCGGTCTGATTGGCGAACTTCCCACCCAGTTGCTGTGTGAGACAATAGGTCAGATACAATCACTGCAAACTCCAGCCTTATTACTCATCCAAATCCGTATGTAGCGCAACAGTAGTCGGAATGAGATGACATATCCTTTGTTGATACTATAAGGGGGTAGTCGAATGTGGCTAAGATATTTCTGGAGATGGTCTCCCTTGAGAGAACCACTGCGCAAAGGTTGACGTCGCGGACTAATTATATTTGGAAACAGATTTATTCTCCGACGAACGACAGATCCTCAAGCACTAAAATCTACCCTTTCTACGCGTATTTCAGATGAAAATCTGGAATTTTATGGTTCGAATCAGACCCGGAATATCTGCCACGCGCAAAAATCCAGCTCTGTTGATACACAGCACTATGCAACAGTTGACCATGATGTTGCTTCCCGCACAAAGCGATTTCCAGCGGTAACTTCTCCTTCGAGGACTACAGTAGTGACGGGCAACATTCGGTCACCAAGACGTCGCCCACCGCCATCTTCGAAGTCCGGACCTCGACCTCTGGGGTCTCCCATTGCACAGAAGCACACCAATAATGCGAAGGAGGCCAGTAGACAGATATCGAAATGCGTCACCAACGGCGACCAATCCGATCGAAACGGAGACGGTGCCGACACAAATATGAACGCAAGTTTAATTATTATGAAACTAGAATATTCAAAATCCTCGGACTAGAAGGACCCGAGAGTCAGCAAACATCTTGTATGTTGTATGTTAGGGTGGTGGATGACCCTGGTCGTTCTTTAGGGAGGAGGCTTAGTGTCCTATACCACATAAATCCATGTTACAGTTTCCTAGTCAGTCTCCGCTTTTCACCTGTGGCGTGACTGCAGAACATTTCTATCGTAAGCGCCAACTCTTTTATACATGTGGCCATCGCTGAAATAACGAGAACTTACGAATTTGTTGGAAACAATTAACAAACCGAAGAACACGTTCTTTAGAGTTGAATTTAACCTGCCGTTTTACCACCCTTGGTTAAGGAAACAGTTTGTTTACATCTTGAAGAAAATTAGCTTTTCGATAAAAGAAGCTGTTCAAAAGTTCCATGAAATCTCTTCAACCATTCGTGACTGGTTTTGTCCTACTTTGGACTCATCGGATGGGCATAGTCTCCGAGTTCAACTCAACCTTATGTTCAAAATGCACCTATTTTGGAGACGAATCGCCAAATACACTCATTTTCGGACCAATGTGGTTTTAACGACAGATTAATCCGAATTCCTGTTGAGTCAATGGTTCATTAGATTCTTCAACCGAATGTACTGCGCAAAGATGGTCTCAGGTTTCCCTCGTGCGGTACTCGAGATATCGCAGCATATTTTCTTGACGGTAAACACTATCCTCAAGACTGCTGAATTCTCTTTGACAGCCCATGACTTATTCATCTTTCGTGGGGTGTATCGGCTTGGTCTGATTTCCGAGTCTTTGGAAACCACCTGGGTTAGGAGTAAGCTAATGAATCTCCTAACAGCTCTAAAAACAGTGGAAGCGTCTACCAATGTGCAAAATCATTGCCTTACTGTCACTCTCACCCTTAACTTCACTTTCGTTGACGAACATTCAGCTGATAATATTGTTCGTCATTTCGAACTCTAAGATGTTTCGGTCCAGAAGTTCATTACTATCTCTTTCAGTAGCACTGGAAATCGTTTGATTTGTTGGCGCTGATATGCCTCGATTTCACCTGGAAAGGAGATTGTGATGTCTGAAAATAGCAGAATTAACATCTAACGCGTTTTGTGCATTCCTGGAGGAGTACTGAGAAAAGCCTGTACTTTGATTCCGGTTTGCAGATATCAAGGTTTTTGGAACCCCGAGACGATTGTGCGGGAATGATGATCTTGAAACTGGGCGAAGAATGGTTGTTTTTATGCAGAATGTTGTGTTCCGTAGTGACGAAAGAATAAACACGCCTATGAATAGCAGTCGGAAACTTCCATTGACGGTATTCCTTCCCGTTTCACTGAATATCGTGCTTCAGAATATACATGAACCTGCGGTTAAAATATGATATTTAGCTCGTTAAAAGCTGTACAGTGGTAGCAGAAACCCCTAGTGCGCGCACGGTGTAACGAAACTTTCAGGTTTCTGACCCAACCCTCGTCTATTCCACTGGGTCTGAGTCAGCTAAGAGTTCAACAACCGACTATGTTTGGTTTCAACGTACAGGTTACACTCAACGGTGAATACTACGATCCATCTAAGGAATCTCAACCAGTTCCACAGAGCGAACAGGAGAGAATCGTGGGGTTGGTGTGTGGGGACTGTGGCTGGCTTGGTAGACCATCAGTTAACTCAAGTCCTTTGAAGTTTTGGCTCGCATTTGGTCACTTTATTGGCCTGTGCTGATTGTCCTCGTCGGTTTCCGAAAAAGTTATCCGCAGCAACATCACTAACACAGGTATTCCACTCAGCGTAATGGAAACAGATTTGGCAGCTGGTTCCAACAATAGTCACAGATACTCTTACGCCCGACTAAGAAGTTATATGCCTTGTCATTATCCGCAGCTCACTAACACAGGTATTCCGCTCAGCGTAATGGAAACAGATTTGGCAGCTGGTTCCAACAATAGTCACAGATACTCTTACTTACGCTTGTCATACGCAAATCGCGCTGCTCGAAAGACTGGAACAACGTCTTCCTGTCAGAACGTCTATCATTATCGGAACCTGGTGACATCCCCTAACTGTCAAACACACAGGCAAATCGTCGTCTAGTGGCACCGACCAGAATGTAGGTCAAACAGTTTTACATTCGCCCGAATCTGAAGTCTATGCACACCATCTGGTTCGGGCAAACCGTTAATTGCACCTTACCACCCTTGGAATCCAATTCCGACAGTTCACCACTTAATGGTAACTTTTTTGTCTCTGCTCCACCATTGTGACCTGGCATTACAGCACCGGAGAATATTCTATCACTTCTGGAGTTCCAGGTATCCAAGACATTTCCGTACTCGAAGCCCGTTTGTCTCAACCATCTCCTAAAGGTTCCCCGTGTGCCGGCCGACCGAAGCGGATTCACCTAGTCCTGCATCATCACCCAGACCTTATACTACCAGAGATGCAGTGTTCTGTGTGCTGAATGGGTTTTGTAAGGATCATACAAGAGAAACTGCGGCGTATCCTCGAATGCCGAATGTTACCACATATAGGTGCTTTCTGCTCCAAAACACATGGATGGTTGACCTAGTCGCGTGCTGCTGACATCGGATTTAAGTTAGGACGGGCTAATACATGGGAAGAAGCTGGCTGTAACATCCATTTGCTCCCAGGTTCAGACAAGCTCTCGAATGGATTGCTACATGAGTTTGGTATCGGTGCGCTTTCTGGGTACTTCAACCTGTTGTTATTATCTGGAGGCTGTTTACTACATTTCTGTTTTGCCCGGATCACTTTAGTTCTGATGATCTTGAGTCTAACTTCAGCAAACCAAATGAGACTTATTTCTGCGTCATCAATTCTTGTGTTATAACTTCATAAAACGGTTTCTGGCAGATGGAATTTAACTGCTTTTATTGTGAATTTAAACATCGAGAATATTGTTTGTACTTTATCTAGCTGCTACACTCTTTGCTCCCTCACTCTTCAGCCTCTAGATTCCGGTGGGTGTTTGTTAACATCTAGGAAACTTTGAACCCCACCTTGCGTGTAGCTTTCATCAGATCTGCCGATAAACTTATAGCAGCTCAATCCATAATACATAAAATAATGCATAATGCTGTAACAGTTTTCCTTCATTCGCAGTTTCGTAGACGCAGGGAAGTGA